TGTTCTAAATAAATGCCATTGAATATGTAAATGAACAGAGTTTGAAATACGTTGCAATTTGATTAAACACTAACAGATTTTAATATGTTCACATTGATCGCAAAAAGGAGGAAGTTAGTCGATAAGTAGATAATATTGAAGACGTTAGATCGTTAAGGATTTTTTAAACAAGAAATGGTCGCGTGAATAGAACGAGTTACGTGTAAAGAAAAGAGAATGCCTAAACATTAGATATGTATATTCAAATGAGACAGCACAACTATTTATATTATCTATGTGATATGAGTTGATTTTATATATATATATATATATATATAAAAATAACAGAAGGACTTAGAGGTATAAAATAATATTGTTTACAGTATTGTAATGAATGTTGATCACTGTTGCTAGTTTATGTGCCAATGTGCTGTACTGTAACAACGGAACGATAATAAATGTTGATAGATACAATCATTCGTAACTTGTTTTTTAATTCAACAAGAAAATAAATCAAATGTTTGCGTGATAATGTAAAATACTCGACGACACCTGTGTTTCATAAAAACTTGAATAACTTAAAAAGCGTTAAAAGTATAAAAATATAAAAGGAATGACTTACACAATAAACATAGTTTACATGAGAAAGATATTGTCGTCAGCAGCCATTATTTGATTAGCGTCGGACATTTTATTAATTGCCGCAGTAATTTCACCTGATGTAAACTCTTCAGACTGTTCACTGTTGATGTATTCTCGTACTCTTGACAATGGGAGCGATTGCGCTCTTTGTTGTTGAAACAACTTGTGAAGAAGTGTTCTGAACACTTTTAGTCTGAAAACATAAAATATGCATTGCATATACATTACATGTCAATAAGGAAATTACATTCCGCTCACCTTTCTTCGGTAATTTTTGCAGGAGTTTCTGAAGCTGCGGTCTTTCCAGAGTCTTGTGATGTACTTTCGGACTTGCTAGGACTTTTTCGCTGCGACCTAGTCATCCTACTCGACTGTTTATCAGTGTGACTGTCATCGTCACTTTCAAAATCATAAGGGTCTTCTTCACCATTGGTGGTCGTTCTTCTAGTACGTTTTTTCCTTGTCCTCTCCTCTGGCTCATCCTCCTGTGCACTTCCTTCGCTGTCTTCTCGTCTCCGTTTCTTCTTCTCTTTCTCTAAAACTCGTTTAAAGTAGGCGAATTCTATCAATTCTATTGCAGCGTGCGCATCTTCGGCTGTCACGTTTTTCGACAAACGAGCTTTCGCGTGCGCTGTGGACAATCGAATCATCGTTTCCAAAGTACGAGCAGTTACGGGTTGAGTCTGAATAAAAGAAGGGAATCAATTAAGAATAGATTAAAATGACTATTTCACTAATTAAAATCATAAAGATTAATGAAATACCCTTGCTACGTCGGATTCTACTGATTCTTCAGACCTAAGTTTTGAATACTCAGTAGCTATTGCTTTGCTAGCTTCTTCGGTGAGTTTGGGTTTCATACACCGAGCTATATGAATGTATTTTCTCATAAAGTTTATAGAAAGAATCTGGTCACTGAAAAAGATTAATTCTTATAATTACAATCTATGCTGTTTTAGTTTTCATTTCAGTACCTTTTTGCACGCAGACGCCCATGTAATAGAGGGTCATATTTCTGATAAACCTGAATCTCGCCTCCTTCAGGAAGAATCTCATCAGGATTTTTAGTAGTCAGTATGTCTATTTTACTGCCCATAGGCAATGCTTCACCATCTTGTTCCATCGGACTTCTGTATCTGTGCATTCTCACAACGTGGTCACTGATAATTTGATCTTGTTCAGGATCCACTATGTCTAATATGACGAACAACAAGTCAAAACGTGAGAGCAATGAATCTTGGAGTCCAATGTTTTCCATAGGTGTTTTATATTGATCATACTATGAGCATAAACATTCGCGTTAATTACTAATATTTCCCTTGAATTCTATTTACTTTCAAAGCAGTGATTACTTACTCTTCCATAAACTGGATTTGCAGCAGCCAGCACCGAACATCTTGCATTCAAGCTAGCATGTATCCCAGCTTTAGCGATCGTTACCTTTCCTTGTTCCATAACTTCGTGTATGGCTGTTCTGTCGATATCAGACATTTTATCGAACTCGTCTATGCAAATGATTCCACGATCCGCCAACACCATAGCACCGGCTTCCAATCTACGTTCGCCAGTTTCAGTATCTATAGTTACAGCAGCTGTTAAACCTACACCGGATGATCCTCTTCCAGTAGTTGGTATTGCTCGCGGTGCAGTACATAAAACATATCGAAGAAGTTGTGATTTTGCCACCGATGGATCACCAATGAGCATAACATTAATATCTCTGGAAGAGAACAAGTGATTGTAGAATTGGCTAACCCTAAGACGTACCTTCATGAATCACATTATACGAATATTCTTACCCTCTTAATCTTGTACCATTGGGTAACAATTTTTCGACACCGCCAAGTAATAAACATAATATTGCCTTTTTCACGTAATCATGTCCATGAATGGAAGGAGCCAGTGACTTACTAAGTAGTTCAAAAATATCCTTACATGGATTATTCTTGGCTAGCTTTTTACAGATAGCAACATCATCATGGGAAATAGATAGATTAGCTTCTTTGCTCAATTGCATGATATTGTTAGCAATTAAAATTGTTCTAAAAAATACAATATCTACTTATATACATTCTTAACGGATTTGTGTGTAATATTAAGTTTTCTATTCTCTAGTTGTCAAACCTAAAGGTGCCTGTTGTATATGCTCCTTGTTTACCAGGTAAACATCTAAAGCTTCCTACAACTTGAACTCTATCTCCTGGTTTGCAGACGTCCACCAAATCATTATCACATATAACATCAACACTTCTTGGTAACTGACCAGTTGGTGCTTTTTCGGGCATCTCTTGTATAGTGAGCGTTTGATGATCTTTATAAGTAGAAAGGCCAAATTCTGTTTCTAGAGGATTACCATCTTCATCCTACATATAATGCACAGATTATAATGCAAATTTCTGCTATTTGTAAATGGGTTATGCCCTCTGATGCCCTAATTTAAGCATTAAAAATAATTACTTGAGTGGGATACACAGCAGATTGTGGGAATGCATCAAAAGAAGTTAAATCAGTGTAAGCTCTTTCCATTACTGTCTTTGTTTCATTGCAATAGTGAACGCTTCTAACAACCTTTGGCCGTACTAAGGAACCTAGTCAGATTAATATTATATGTTAGATAATGTTACATTGAGCTATATAACATTAATTATGAAACATTATAAAATTTAACTTACATTTAGTAACAATACCTTCCACACATACCAAGTTGCCCAAAAAACGTGAGGTAAGTGTTCTTGGTGTTACATGCTTACTTCCAAAACTTCCTTCAAAAGCTATGAAAAAATCTACATTTCCTTTCGCATAATCAGTATCTATACTTCCAATAAATTGTTTCAGTGCATTTTGAAAAGCCAGGTGTTCTTCGAAAGAGTTATTTAGCAAACTACAAGTAAAGTTAGCATTGATATCACATCATTGATATTTAGTAAAAGAAAACTGGTTTGTAAATTTAATGTTACACTCACTTTGTTGTACGAACAGGATTCTTTCTTCTCAAATCGTTAATATTTACATATAATCGGCGTTTTCCCTCTTCAATCATATTCTTAACAAGAGTACTATAGATGCCTTGATCCTCCTAAACAATAATCACGAGAGAAATAATTGTAAAGTACCTGTTGAATATATTTGCTTACCATATCATCCAAAAAATCAACATATTCTCTTTGTATTTCTTCAAGTCTTTGATCTCTATCAATACCATCCATTTTCACTTCGATTAATATCTATAATTTATATTTATATTAATCTCACTAACAACCGGGAAATAACGTAAACAAATTCGCAAACCGATCATGTGACATGTGCCTGCACAACAACTTCGCGCGGGAAAACGGTACGCACATAAAATCGAATCTTTCGAGATTACATATCGAATTGAGATTATTAATGGTTGTACACGCTTGTCGCAAGGTGGCGACACTATCGAATTATATGGCGGCATTATTTGAATCGAAATATTGAAGAAAAAGTAACGTTTCAGGTTTTCATGCTTGAATTATTGAAATCTGTCACAATTAAAAGTTTGCAGATGCTACAGACGCTTCTTTTGTAGCAAAAAATGAAGTTACCGACAGTCAATTTTGGGTATCAGTTTCATCATTTTACCACCATCCCAGTTGGCGCTGAACAGACCCTGAACGGAGCTTCATTTTTTCTTCAAAAGAGGCGTCATGCTTTCGAACCTTTATTCGCCTTCATAATTTCGCGCGCTATGTCCTCCACGAACGTGCTACGTATGTTCAAAGTGTCTACTCGTTTCTGGAAAGGACAACGTTGGTCAACATTTTTCTTGATAAATCTGTTGCGTGTTATAAGAAATACCTTTAAAGATTGCATAATTGCAAGGTATCTAATGTTATAAACTAGTAACATAGTATGCGCATTTCTTGTTGTCTAATGTACACGATCGTGTGAAGAGCTGTATAGTTATTGTTTTGACTTGAACAGTGCCAGTGTGGCACCCAACGCTGCACCGTCGTAAAGTCAAAGCGCACACGTCGACGCAGTCCAGAACCGAGCGTGTGGCGCACGTACACACCTGTTCGCTATTCGGAAAGCCCTGCATATTGAAGCACGGTGACAGCAACATTATTTCGATTGCCGATTACTTTCCTTTCATTTTAATTGGAACTCCTTCACCTATAAGAAAACCGTAAAAATGGCACCAAAACAGAGGATGCGCATCGCCAACGAAAGAGCTACGAAAAACATCACGCTTCGGGGAAATGTTCCGAAATCAACGGTAAGTTGTTTTCCTCGCTGTTCAATGAAATTCGCTCAATAAATACGCATGGTCAATTAAAATGATTAGGGAATAATAATTCGTATAAAAACAAGCCACTGTCACTTTACAATATCGAGGTTACAAACTTTCATAGTCGAAATAAGTCATACACGCGTGCTCTGACATTTCTAGCAGTTTTGATACATCGTATTTTTCAAGTTTTTTTATGTCGAGATCAATTTTTAATTATGACTTGTAGGATAGTAAATACTCGAAGGTATTTATTCGTGAAATATAAAGAAATATGGTTCAATAGAACAATAGTTGTACCATATGTAATGTAAACATATGCATAGATTATTGATACTTTTACGTATACCAGTTTTTATATAAAAACCTATAATGTAATATTTTGATTTGAATAACGTCAGCATTTCTCAGAATACTATTTAATAATTTCTAGAAACCACAAGAAGATGGATCTCCAGTTGGACCATGTTTGCTAGCGCTTTTCTTATTCGTTGTATGTGGTTCTGGTAAGTTTTATTTCCAATGGTCATTCATTTATTTTCTTGTTCCGAATTTGTAGAATATTTATGGAATCTTTCATTTTTCAGCTGTATTCCAAATAATTCAGAGTATTAGAATGGCTTAATGTTACCAACGTAAAAATCAAAGAGATGTTGCTGTTACTGTTAATATGAAAAGCTGTCTACAACTAATTGGTACACAAACGAGATCAACAGACTGTTTTATCATACACTATAAATATGTAGGCATCAAAATGCTGTTGATATAAAACTGAAATCACAGTCTTGCTACACAATTTTTTCTATTTGGTATAACACAAAAAGTTTATTTATAAAAATTTAGCATTTATATACTTCTTACTTAACTGCATTATGTATTGATTGTATCGATGAAAGAAGATTGCATTTAGTGCATTTTGTTCAAATATTTCCAATTTAATATAACAGAGTGTCCAGTTGACTATAACGAAACAATTAATTGATTTTTATTTCGTCGCTTCGTATACAGCAATTATTATGCATATTTTCATAGGAAATGTAAATTCTTCCATCGATACGTGCATAGTAAATAATTGTATATATGTACGATCGATTAATTGTATCAATTCATTAATCAAAGCATTCCACTGTGAGCAGTTGGTAGCTTTTGGTTGTCGATATATTTTAGAGGCCTTAAGAACATAATAGGTCCTTCTATGTATATGTAAAATATATATTATATATAATATCAATGTAATTTATCCTAATGAAATATTTGCTACTGACAATTCTTTGTCTCTTTTAATAAATTATATTATGAATAAATTCGAATCTTGTTTCTGACAATTCTTCTTAATTATTAACAAGCTTTTCTGTTCATTCAAATTAGAATAGAATGTTCTGTTTTAAGCAATTTAGGACTTTAACGAATTTTAACAAAGAAAACCGGAAAGAATTTTTTTCAGTATTTCATGTTTGTGGTACAAACTTTTAATAGCAAATATTTTGTCACGGCACTCTTCGTCTTCAAAAATTAAATTTGAATTATCGAGCTATGAAAAATACAACTATGACCATAACGTTACATTTTACATTTGAATTTCCCTCTTATCGCCATTTGTCAGAGGATATAAATACGGTAGCGCCATCAAAAATGATACATACCTACGTTCGCGTGGTCACGCAACAACATATTTAAATTAAACGGAAAACTTGTAATGAACGATAGCAGAGCGAATTATTTGTGGAAGAAAAAGTCTTCATTTTTGTTAAATTCTTCCCTGCTACGTACAAAACATTTGTTGCATATTGTAAGAACGCAATATCGTGAAAGATTTAAATAAAATGGCTGGTATATTCAATTTGTTTGGTAGTGCATTCGATCTCGACAAAGGTACGAATATGTATACTTTCGATGATTATATCCTATGCATTGCTTGCGTTTTAATTTTTAAGAAAGTTTATGAAAACTGTACATTGTAGATCAAGTCGCAAAGCCGTTGTCAAGAGCAAATACAACTCTTGGAATTGGTGGAACTTCTTTAAAATCAATCAATCAGCCAAAGCCAAAAGGATTGTCTATGAGATCTAACTCGAGTTTAAATGTACCTAGCGAATCACATTTGAATCAAGGCTCATACAACAAACAACAAAACAATTTAAAACCAAATTTAACACAATTAGACAGCAATGGTCGTCCAATATCGCCACATAGAGAATTGCTGAAGGTACTAGTACAAATGCTATTAATGCTTCTTGTGAATTAATATAACTAATAATTTATTTACAGAAACCAAATGTCCAGTTTCACAAAATGAGCAATCTGTTTCCAAAGAAAATATCGGAGAAACAGAATGTGCAATTACGAAAACCATCTGGAGAATTTTCCTTTAAGAAACCATTGACACCAAAGAATATAATTCAGGAATCATATCCTGATCCAGAGGAATTGGCACATTATTATGATATGCAGTTTGATTTTGGTATGATCTTAACAATAACATTTTGATTTGAAATTGTTTACTAAAATTTGTATGGCTCGCTTTTGCAGATCATTTTTATACAATAGAAGCAGAAAAGGAATTTAGAAAAATATTAATGAATAAGAAAAATAAAGTGCTGCCATATGAGGATGAAGGATTTCATTCAGGTATAGAAATTTAATTTTTGTTATAATATGTAGAGATCTTCGATTAAATATTAAATTTCCTATTTAGATCCAGAATTAATAACATGCGAATTTCCCATGCTACGTGTATCATTTGATTCTGATTATGAAGAAAGGGAAAATAACGTGACAGTTAATTTACCAGAATTATCTGATGATGATATCTTTTAATTTAATACCACACGATACTTATGTAGCTTAAGACAATTTTCTAATATTTTATAATAATCAGATGATGATATCTTTTATTTAATACTATGATACTTAAGTAATTTAAGACAATTTTCCATTATTTTATCTAAGAACAATTATACGAGAAGTTTATGTTAAGAAGATTTTTGTGAAAGGTATTATATTTTGTATACTTAACTATTGTATCATTACAAATACTAATAAGTCATAAATAAAATATTTGCATATGTAACGATACAGTTATTGTTTTGTTATTAGATCTATTAATTCTAATTTCATTAAACACATGTCATTTGTTAAATGCAGAAAAGATGGTTAAACGAGTTATTGTAATAGCAGGTATTTTGCAAGACCGTACCTTTAATCATATTCGTTTTATTGCCGAATGTTTATCTACGTTATTGCCGAATTTCAATTTTAACGTAATTTGTAAAGATTCAACAGAATGGAAAGTAGGTGATCGTTGCTTCTCTTACCACATTAATATTTATTGTACCGTATTAATATTTTCCAGTCTTGGTTACAACAAACGTGCATATGTTATGGTTGGGATCACACTAAATCTCCCATAATATGGAAAGAAATTGGGTTGTCTCATACCAGCACTACATATATTGGTGGTGCTTACCAATTTTGGGAATTGCTACATAAATATTATAACATTACATCTTATTTAAACAAAGAAGATCTTGATGCTTTACAAGAGGATTTCGAATTTGTAAATAAATGCGATATCTATTCAATATTCTAAACAACTAAGTTAGTTATTTACTTTGTAGATTTATGATGCAGAAAGTAAGAAATGTAAATGTTTAGAGACGCACCAAGAATGTCGTCGGATAATGATAATAGGAGCAGGAAGATCTATGTGCCCGGAGTTAGTTCCGCAATTGATCATGACAAAAGAACTCTGGTTGAGCCATGGACTTGTTATAAGTTTATATGATCAACCAGGGTGCTTCTTTAAAGTAAGAAAGATTGTAAAAGATGCACAAGGACTTGATGGTGGTTTGAATGCAGTAAAAGTTGTTTATAATATACCTGATGGTTTACGTGATTGTGATGTATTGCTTTACATTGATACCTTATCAAAGTAAATAGAAATAACTAACATTTTAATTTCATTATTGAAGAACTACCTAATTTCAAGTTGTATCTTTTTTTCAGAGAAGAGTTTGAGGGGACAGAAGGTTGGTTGTATCGTAATTACAATACTATAAAAGAATTATCTATGCAAATAAATAATTATGCACCATCTCACATGAAAGTAATTTTTTGTTCAATGGGTCCCATATGTTTTGCTGTTGATGTTATGCTCAAATTTGTTATAAAATTACCAAAAACAAATATTGTGGCTGCTGGATCTCAGTACGGATTAGAATCGATATATGTGTTGGCACGTTCAACAGGTTTTCCTTTAAGGAATTTTGGTTGCCCTCCTGTTTGGGGATACCTTGGTTGGTTTACATATTAGTATAATTCAATTTTATGCTTACATTATTTTATACCGCACAGTTGTTGAAAAACTGAACTCATTTCTAGGAATTAATCAGTTTGTGGATGTCCATCATATGATTCAGAAGTATGACTATTATATACCTAATAGAAGAGCTCTGGATTCAAGCGACAATGCAACACTACCAATTGGAGTCAAACGTTCACAATTAAGATGGTTTTTTTATATGGTCCATGATAAAACAGATTATTATAAAGAGATTTATGCACGCAAGGTAAAAATGTAACATTTTTAATTAACTTTTCTTTATGATAAATCTACAAACGAATCAAAATTCCTATACACGTCTCCATAGAATCTTACTCAATACCAAGTGGGAAGATGTGAAGACTATCAAAAATGCAGAGCAATTTGTGATCTTTTAAAATTGTGGTACAGCACAGACGTGGGCGATGAAGTTATTTCATTAGGTGTTATTTCCGATGGTAAGTATAGTAAAAGTAAGAGTACTAGAAAAGATATAAACTCGTTCTTTCTTCGTTATAGGTTCTTTTGGTATCCCAGAAGGAGTAGTATTTTCACAACCGGTATATTTAAAATTGTTAGAGGATCAGTCGCGAGCATGGGTACCGTTTCAAAATTTTCCAATGCCAAACATACCGCTTAATATATTTCAAAACCTTGTGAATACTGCTGTTATTATTCTTAATAACATACTGACAATTGAAAAAACAGTAGGGAAGCATTAAATCCCGGAAATTTGGAGAAATATTGACTCATACAAATTCCTAACATCCTAAAATTATATTCATAATTTCATACATTTTATTAATTGCATTGAAATAGAAAAAGATAATATGAGCAATCCTAATAAGCATTTTAGTATTTTTATTATATGGATGGTAAAAATAAGCAACAAAACTTCTTAAGATAGATTTATTCCTTA